TTAGCGGTTTGGCGGTTTAGCGGTTTGGCGGTTTGGGTTTAATCGGGGTTGTTAGCGGTTCGGGTTGGGCGGGTTTCGCGGGTTGGCGGTTTTTTGTTCACCCCTACTTTAATCTACCTTAAAGATAACCTACTTGGAGTATAATTTTAAAGTAGTTATGTAAATTAAATGTGAAAAGAAAATCATTTGTGTGTGTGTATATAGAGAGAGAGAGGTGAGTTATTATACAACCTTTTATATTTATACAACCAATGCAACTCAATCTCAAACGTCCATTTAATTTGATGAATATGTAATTTTATAGAAGTTTTGATTGTTTTTTAATATAAAGTATTGATCATAATTAATTAACCTTATTCATCTTCTATAAATATTTAAATCATAATAAATGAACTCTTTATCATTTCCATAAATATTTTAATTTATTGGATTGTATTGATTGTATGAATGTGATGGGTTGCATTTGAAACAAACTCACTCTCACTCTCTCTCTCTCTCTCTCTCTATATATATATATATATATATATATCTATCTATATATATATGTATGGTTGGGTTCACATGAGACCAGATTGTTTTCGTGAGATACGTGAGACAACATTTTTACACTTAAAACTCTACAACAAAACGCTAAGAAGATAAAAAAATGGAACTTACACAATAAAAAAAACATTGTGAAAGTTACCTTCACAGTGTTTTGCTGTGAAGTTTCAAATGTCAAAATGTTGTCTCATTTGTCTTACAAAAACGGTCGTCCCTCTCTCTCTCTCTCTCTCTCTCTATATATATATATATATATATATCGCAATGCAACGCTCGATTTTAGTGTTTTGTTTTATTCTTTGTTTTTGTTGAGGTTATAAAATAGTTTTGTGGTTTTGAAAAAGTGATAACATTTGTATTTTTGAATAAATATAAACTTGAAGATACCTTAAAATTTTGAAAAAAAAATATAGATATTAGTATAAAATTAACTATCTAAATCGTTTTTTTATAATTTCTTTATTTCAAAATTTCTTTTATAGTTTAATCTAAATTTAATAACGAAGTAATTTATTTTTAATTTAATAATACAAGTTTTTATAAAAACAATAATTAAGTATTCTGTTATGACTTAATGATTATCTTAATTATATTTTAGTTTTTTTATTATTAAAATAAGATGTTTATTCTTATTTGATTATGTTTATCTGCTGTTAGTTACACAGATTCAAGCATGAAACTTTAATAAGCTATACTTACACACAATTTAATTGTAATATTGAATTTTAAATAATATGCATAAACAAACAATATTTTATGCATAAAAATAGTTTTTAAGAGTTTTTATCAAATGTTTAATAATATAATGTATATATATACATATAATACAAAATCGTTTGTTCTTACAAAACCCCTCAATTTATATGTAGCAAATATGAACATATTTATTCAAAAAGTTAACAAACACGTTTATTTTTAGTTAATATATTGTCACATCAAAATGAAAATGCGAATAAAATTACAGAAAACAGAATTCGACCCATAAATGAATAAGACAAAAAGAATCGAGTCACACACTTTATATCTGATGTTATTTAACATTTTTATTCTACAGGTTACATATTTGGATAAAAAGTTGATTACTGATAGCCCTAACTATTACTAAATCTGGACACCTTAAACTTTCAGTAGTTATGGTTGCACACAGTTAAATCTATGGTTTTACTGCTATCAAACTTTAAAAAAATTACATAGTATGCAACAAAATTTGTGGTTGCACATGTAACCACAAATCATACACGCATGCAACTAACATTAACATATGTTACTTTTATTTGTATTAACATAAAAAAAATATTCAATATTCAGCTTATTTGAAGGTATTGACACAACCTTTCTAATGATATAATTTGTAAAAGAAAATACGTATTTTTAATGTATTTTAATTAATATGAAAAGGGTATAAAATGAAAATTGAAAAAAACTGAAGTAAATTAAAATAACTGAAGTCTTTGAAATATTAAAAGCATAACTGATTTCCAACCATCATCCTCAAGTTCGACATTTTATTCTTAATTTTTCATTTAAGGGACCCCTTCCGTACCTTTTAAGTCAAATCGCCCCCATACGGTAGGGGGCGATCCTGGTGGTTATTTTATGAAAACTCGTTGAAAATTGGCTATTTTTGTTAATACATTAGGTATAAACCGGCTATTTTGATGATTTTCATGGTTTCAACGAAATTTTTTTTATGTTTTCACCGCTAAAAACTTGTGGTTTCAACACCTTAAAGTTTTTACACAGTAAGGCGTTACATTTTTATAGTTTCATAGACAACTATACCCCACAAGACAGTCCCCCCTGTTAATCGACCCCACAAGGAACCCGCCTCCAAGGACACCAATATGAGTGGACATTTTTCGGCTCACTTAACCAGAAGAGAACACTGAAACTGATACCAGAACATGCTATATATTTTAGCAAAGTCACTCCATCTTTTTACCAACTGAGGTACATGTTAGGGGGCGTTTACTAAATGCTTACCCAGTAGGTGCTTATCGGGCAATTTTTCTCACTAGACGAACATGGCAAGACCCAAGAATTTTTACCTGGTAATAGTGATGATAAGGATAGAAAGTCTTGTCCGGTAAGTGAGGGTGACGACTTTTACCTGGGTAAACGCTTACTATACTACAATCTTACCTAGAAAATAAATTATAGTGTTGACTCGTAACGAAAAACGCTTACCGGATAAGCATTTAGGTAAACAGCCTCTTAGTTTACCGGATCATTTGTAATGTGTATGTGTATGTGTATGTCCCACTTGAATGATGTGAAAGTGAAAAGAAAGCTCCCAGACACAAGTCACAAGTATCAGGGAACGACTTAATGTCTCGTGAAGCATCAGTGGATGTTACTGACTCAAATGGGAATCACACATTCCATCCAAACATTAAAAAACCGATGCAGCTTTTTGAAGAGTTTTTTTATCGTACATCAATAAATTTAACTTGTCGTAATGGAAAAAACCCGCTTTTTGTTTGTGACCGGGTGGATTTTAGCATGGTTGTTGTGTCGTAGTCAGCTAAGGGGACGTTAGATTTCGTGGGTTTTTGACGAAATTCTGAAGAAATTGAAATGGTCAATTTTGTTGAATGGATTATGTTTCAGTATTTGGTTTACGTATAGAATGAGATATTGTTTCGTGTGTTTCTATCATTTATGGATTTGATCGTTCCGTCACAAGGAAGAAGGAATTACATTGCATCCCATTTTCTTTAAAAGTGTGTGTGTGTGTGGAGAGAGAGAGAGAGTTAGACTCATACAAAAACAGTAAATAAATAAGAGAGAGTTAGACTCATACATGTAAAATCATATGTGATTTACGCGACTTTGGCTACGACCTAGGTCGTAGGCCATATTGCCTGCACACCCTTTGTTAACTGTTATTATAAAATCACATCTGATTTAACCGTTTTCGTGTTATCTTATTCAGTTATTGTTTTCGTTTGAACTTCCACATCTCTCTCTCTCTCTCTCTCTCTCTCTCTATATATATATATATATATCCATAATTTACTCTTGATTTAATAAATGGTAATGCACATATTTTTTCACATAAAACAATAATAATAATAATTATTATTATTTTAAGGAAAAAAAAACAAACCAATCACTTAATCAAACCTTATAACATTTTATTCAAACATTCTACGAACCAAACATCCGATAAAATTATAGGTTCCACTTTCTAATTAAAGAAACTCAAACAACCGAAAGAAATTACCTGACAATAATAATTATCATAATTATATTTAAAAAAAAGTTATAATATAATAAATAAATAAATAAATAAAAGGATGACGTCATAATTACGTTTGCATTGCAAAAACCAAAAAAAGAAATAAAAAAAGAAACAGTACTTTAGTGGAGTGGGATGGGATGAGGAGAAATTTCAAAGGATTGGTTGAGTGTTGGCTTGGCCATGTGCAATAATATCACATGAATTCTGATATCATCTGTTTTCTGCTTAAGTCTTGACAAATTGGCTACAAAACACAATTGGGTCCATAAACACTGCAACCCATCGTATATGGGTTATGACCATGGGTCCCCTTTTAACCAGTACAACAATTGACCTGCCAGGTTAACCCTTAACCCCAACCCAACCACCCCGTTCGTGCTTCTCATCCATATCTAAATTTGCAGAATGTGGCTTCAAGAAAGTGAACGTCGTTCATCAACATGACTTGGGTAATTGCTGACCTGGTAAGAGTATGATGTGACTTGGGTCAGTAGACTAATAGTATGTCTCTACAACCCGTTGTTTGTAAACAGTTTAACGAGACTCGCATCTTATTTGATCAACTATACGTTATTGTTTGATAGTGGCTTAATTATAGAGAAAATGGCTTATTCAGTAAGCTAATAGGAGAGCTTTACGCCAATCGCCAAGTTTTTTCCGAATCTGCTTTTTCAAATTAAAAAAAAACATGGTTATTCTATTTATGAAAAAATATTACCAACCAAAAACCTTCTCAATCATATTAATACACACATACAGTTTTATCCATCCAGGACTCACGGTCCTTGTTATGTTTTTTACCGGGTAAGATTCTTGGTTCTTGTCATACTCACCCGAAAAGCAAGCACTTACCCAATAAGCGTTTGGTAAACGACTCCCAAACAAAAACACAACAAAATAAGTTCGCTTATGAACAGTGATTCTTTACGATCCAGATTCTAGACCCAAGTCTTTACATCGATATGCTTTCCCTAAACCCCGTTTTTCTAACTTACGAAGCAAGAGGCCGTAAGCAGATAGTAAACAAGAAATCTTGAAAGTTGGTGATTACCTGCAGAGCTTTAAGAACCCTAATCCTCATATTCTGTCTCTTCGTCATCATCTTCGTCATTGTTATTATCACCATAACCCCATCGATCCTCGACATTATCACGATCTTCTTCGGTTTCTTCACTATCTTCTTCCTCGTAAACATCTTTAACCACTGGCCATAGCTGCTTCTTTATTACATTCCCGACAGCAGTAGAAACCTTCCGTTGTACAACTTTAGCTGGCGGAAGCTTTACGTTAGGTTTGGGTCGGTTTTGTTTCTGGGATTTGGTAATTTCTCGTTTCATGGTGTTCCCGTCATGATCGCTGCCCACATCCATTTCATTGTTTCCGTGAGCATTTTTGGGGTTTTCTTCCGGGAAATGGCCCGGGTGTTCTCTTCTTAAATGAAGATTTAGCTTGTATTCGTGAATGTAGGCCTTTTCACATCCTTCGTATGGACAAGCGTACGGGCGGTCGGATGAAGCCGAAGCGTAGGTGGCCGTTGAAGCTTTTGGCGCCTTCGGAGGTGGTTTTTCTATCGGTTGAATGTGTACATACTTGAGGGGTGCTTCTACCATCATGTTATTGTTGTTCTGCTGAAATTTTGAAAGATTTCAAGATTAAGGATGCAAAATCCCTACATTTACATGGAAAAGATGTATATAGTTTCACTTCCGAAGTCAAATAAACCGAATTTTAATTTTGAAAACTGATAATCAAATCAAACCAAACCAAACAAACCCAGTATATGTCACACAGAGGTAGGGTCTGGGGAGGGTAAGATGTACACAAACCTTGTCTCTATCTCTAAAGATAGAGACAGAGGCGGACCCAAAAAGAAATTCTAAGCAGTGGCACAATTTGACTATAAAAAATATCTAATTTTTTTGAGTAAATTACGATTTTCGTCCCTGTGGTTTGTTAATAATTTCTATTTTCATATATGTGGTTTAGAAATTGCACTTTAGTCCTTATGGTTTGCAATTTATTGCTATTTTCGTTCTTGGACTAATTCCAACCTTTAAGTGCAAGGGACCAAAACAGGAAAGAAGTGTAAACCACAGGGACCAAAACAGGAAAGAAGTGTAAACCACAGGGACCAAAACAACAATAAGGTGTAAACCATAAGGAAGAAAACAGCAATGAATTACGAAACATAGGGACGGAAATCGTAATTTTTAAACCACAGGGACAAAAAACGTAATTTACTCTCTTTTTTTCACAAAATTAGTATAGATCTGGTGGTTGGTTCCTTATCCTTGCATAGAAGAACATGTCTTACATAGAAGAGATCCATGTTCGAGTCCTGCCTACATATATTTTAAAAAACAAAAGTGGTATATAAAAAGACACAAAAAAAAATAAGCTAACAAACAACAAATTCGACAACAATGGGACTCGAACCAAGGTCTTTTGTATAAGGGTAGGAACGTTTCCATCTCAGCCATTAAATTCTTTTGTTAACATGTCAGTTTCAAAAACTATATGGTGGCACCCAACAAAACAATACAGTGCCACCCTTCAGAAACGTAACTTTTTCCCCTTACGACAGAACCATGAAGTGGTGGCCCATGCCACAGTATCGTTCCATGTGGGTCCACCCCTCTGTAGAGAGAGACTGTTTCCGTGGAGACCCCCCGGATTACAAAACGATAAGGGTGGTCTTACTTTGTAACGACTCGTTAGCAAATGTGATTTTGAAATGAAAATCGTGTTGAAACAGGGGAAGCACTAACCTTTTCATGGTGAGACATTATGTGATTCTTTAGCTTGTATTCATGAGCATATCTCTTTCCACATTCAGGGTATGGACAGATATGATAATTCTCTTGAGAATGAGTTTTCATGTGTGACCTTAGGTTGAAATCCAACGAGAATGCCTGTTTATGTCCGAAAGTAACCAAACAATATCAGAGTAGTCGGTTAACGTAAGCATTTTTAGGGTCTTTCGAGTTCTGGTCCCTTCCCCCTTTTGCTTCTTTGCCAATCATAAATAGGAGTTAGGGCTACACATGGGTTGGGTTGGCCGGGTTGAAGGCATTTGAACAACCCGATGCTTGCAGTTTGAAAATTCTTAACCTAACCTAACTCAACCCAACCCAAACCTTGCGGGGCGGGTTGGGTTGGGTTGAGTTGGTCGGGTTGAAACTTTGGTACATCATTTTACAATCTAGCTAAACATTTGTGTTTAAACAACGTAAAATCAAAATGATAACATACAAAAAAGGCTAACAAACTCAAAAAAGAAGTTGGAAGGTTAATTCAAATAAGAAAAGTAAAATTACGGTAGAAATTGTAATATAATTTTGAATATGGCTAATTACGGGTTGATATAATGTCTAATGTACATATACTAATCAAGAATTTAATAATCATATTAAATCCATAGTATAAAAAAAAACATCGGGTTCATCGGGTTGGGTTGGGGTCAAATAATCGTAACTGAATTCCAACCCAATGGTTGTGGTTGCCGGTTTGGCCTAATTAGTATCAACTATGTGTCAGGTTACCTCAGGTTGAGTTTTTTTTTGGGTTTTTTCAAGTTGGGTTGGCCGGGTTAGTTGGTTTTTCAAGCACCCCTAATAGGAGTACCATAATAAATGAATGAACTGAATTCCGTTCATTTATACCCTTTTCTCCATTCTCCATTTTGCGAGTCCCGTCTTCATTTCTGCTCGTACCATGTAAACAGGACCCACAAAATGGAAATGTTATAAAGAGGACCTAAATCGATATGCGAAGATAAAACTTACCTCAAAAGCAGTTTGTAATGTTAATTATATCAACCGAAATGGAAAAAAAAAAGACTGTAATGTAACACTTCACTAAAGAGGGACAGAGCCATCACCTTACCACAACCTTCATGAGGACAAACAAAATCTCTCTCTCCCGTATGAATAAGGAAATGTCTCTTTAGCTTCGAGCTGTCCAAAAATTTCTGCAAAAAAACCAATAATAGATTCATTGCACACGATGAGCCTCATGAAAGTAATAAGAATGAGTAAACAACAATCTATAATCACAAGGCAATATATGCAAAGAGGTTGTTCTGTCACTCAAACTAGTGATCTTAGGGTGCGTTTGGTATGTGGACGGGACCGGACGGGGAGAGCGAGGTAGGCGGGTGAAAGAAATCGCTTTAGAGTGTGTTTGGTACACTCGACAGGACAAAACATAAAAGAGATCATTGTTCCATGTTTGGCAAGACTTTTATGTGAAACAAACAGAATCAGAGTGGAAGAGACTTGTTCCATCCCGACCCCATGAAACAAGGTGGAACAGACCTATATTTTATCAATCTAACCTCAAAATAAAACTTAAATCTCATTCTCTTCTAGAACATCAAATACGCCTCCCTCTTTACATGATAATAGAAAAATAATAATAATATAGAAAAGGTATAAAATAGAAATTGGAAACTAAATGAACTTTTTATTTTGGTGTCATTTTAATCGTTTTGACGAAAACTTTCTAACGATATATTTTGTTATAAAAATATTTATTTTATTATAACTTAATAAATTACATAAATTAATCAGAATATATAAATAAGTCGTTAGAGGTAAATTGGTCATTTCATTTGTTATGTTCTGTCCTGTTCAGTTCTGCTTACAAATGTTGAAGAACTGTTCTGTCATGTCCTATCATGTCCGGATACCAAACGCACCCTTATGGGTTTTAATTGTCATGGGTAGTTTAGTAATTTACCAATCTTATTCCATCTCCCTAGTTTTTTGATCCACCTATTTTGATGGGACAGAAAAATGCATTTTTGTCCCACTCAGTCTTATCATGTCCTAGTCTAATGTCATGTCAAACATGGTACAATAAGTTTTTGCACCGTCATATTCTGTATTGTCCTGTGTACCAAACGCACCCTTATGGTCAGAATGGAGTGATCTTAACCAAATCTCCGTGAAGGTATGGACGCAAAAATAGCACTTTAGTATATAAAAGAATCACCTTTCCACAATTCTCATAATGGCACACATATTGTCTCTCTCCATGAATGTGAGCATGCTTCCTTAGAGCCCCAGCATCAATAAATGTTTTTCCACACCCTTCATAGCTGCAAAGAAAAAGAACTTCGGTTGTTGGTTCGGGTTCAGGTTCTATAGCCTCCACCTCTTTTGACTTCTCTTTCATGGCATTTAATTGAGCCTCTGGTTGTACAAAGACAAGAAGCTCGATATCAAACCCCAAGGAATCATATGATAATAGCATTGACATGCCTTGTTAGATGGATATTACTTAGGGTGCGTTTGGTACATTAGACAGGACAGGATAGAACAAGGATCACTGTTCCACGTTTGGCAGGACTTTTAACATAGTGGAACAGGCATGCCCCACCCCACCCCATGGAACAAGGTGGAACAGGCTATATTTTACCAATATAACCCTAAAATAAAAACTAATTCTCTTCTAAAACACCAAACATGCCACCCTATTTATATTTTATTAATTCTTAAAATTTTATTTATTGTATTTTATGCTATTTAAACTTTCACTTTACTGTCCTCAAAATATTACTTTATACGGTTTCTATATTTTGATGTCATTTTAATCGTTTTGACGAAAACTTTCTAATGATATATTTTGTTATGAAAATATTTATTTTATTATAATTTAATGAAGTCCATAAATTAATCAGAATGGATATAGACAACTCATAAGGGGTAAATTGGTCATTTTATATGTTCCTCTCCTATCCAGTTATGTGTTATCATATGTTGAACAACTGTTCAATCATGTTCTGTCATGTCCTGCCTGGATACCAAATGCACCCTTAGAGACAACAATAATGCTGGTAGAAGTTTGCCACCCTCACTACGATGACGTGTTTATTCATTTCTTTAATAAGGCCACGCAAGTTCTCGTGCTTACACTATATTCTAATTAAACCATTACTCAATTGGTTGACACGAACTATTTTCTCGGAAAAATACACTAATAATATCAAAATGAATGTTGAATTTACAGAGATTACTAACCTGTGATCCACCTCATAACAGAGCACCTGCCACCTGTTGCCACAACATCCTGTGGCACCCTGAACAAATAACGATAAGGTTAATACCAAGATTTTACAACAGTTAAGGTAAACAAATATCAAACAACTGTGAAATCTTGAAGAAAAAAGTAGTTTATCGATGAAATGAGTAAATCTTGCTTCATCCCATAAGAAATGGCAACAATTTCCGTTTTGGGATGTACCATATTAATTGCAGCATTCTTTATGTGACAAAAATAATTGCATGGGTTCAAAAGGGCTCGGTTGTATGATGTTAGCAGAAATGATAAACTATTTTTTTGACCAACATGATTGTTACAAATTTATGATGGATTGATTTTGTCACAATATTCAGCCTACTTTACTCGCAACTGAAAATAATTTTAGACATTAGATTAATGGTGAAACACTCCCATGAACTATGTGGTTAGTCAAACATTTCAGTTTATGGAACAAGCCGGGGATATGGAAATACTAAACATAAGTTTTGAATATATTTCTAATGATATTGAATAAGGCATCCACCAAAACAACACAGGATGGAGAATTTTGGTAATCCACTAATCTTGAACCTTTTGAGATATCAAAACAACAATATATAGATATATATACACACACACACACACAATAAAAACACTTCAGAGACCTTAAATACATAGGTTGGTTGTTGTATGCCCCATTAAAGGATGTCCAATCCTTTACTTTAGCACAAGATGAAGGTGCCTGGAATGCAAATACGAGGGGAATGTCAAGAGACTTGATGATGAATATGGATAGAAATGAGGATATCGTTGAAACGGTTGAGGTACCTTCAATTGAAGAGAATTTGACATAACCCACGACCTGTTTGTTAGCAGCTAAACTAGCTTAATGAGACTCGGAGCTTATTCGGTCAGCTATACATGACTGTTTGGTAACTTAATGATATACAAACTGGCATATTCAATAAGCTTCTAGGGGGAGCTTTATGCAAAAAGCCAAGTTTTTATCCAAATCTGCCTATCCCGATTTATAAACATTATACTTCCTTCTATGAAAATACCTTCCCAAACAAAAACATTATCAATCTATAGAGACAGTTAATCTACACATACAACTTAATGGAAAACCAACCAAATAAACATTGTATGGTCATCCCAAAGTAGATCTTTAGATGGTGAAAAGGGGGAGTTGTTTTAATGAAAAAAGAGCATTATGAGATGTAGGAGAAGGCCAAGGCTAACAAAGGGAAAATGTTTTTTGATGTTGACAAATGACTATGGCATTAAAACAAACACATAGAGTGCATTCAACAATCCCTAACATTCTAGAAACCTTGATTACCATTTGCCATAAATCACACAGATCAATCAAAACACGTTCTTTTTTACAACGGCAAACTCATAACTGAACTCTAACTGATTCTACTGGTCTTGCTAGTTGCAAGCACGAAATCATCTTTATCAAGAAATCAAACATGGACTGAGTAGTATCAAAATTTTAAAACCGTAGCTACTTCAAACCCACATAAATAATCAAGTCTATCTCAGTTTTACCCCTTTTTCCTCTTGATTAAAACTTCTAAAAAATTAGGTCTTGTGAGCCAATCACACTCACACGTTCGTACAATATATATAGATATAAGATAATTAAAGGGCGAAAAAGAGAGGATTGTTATTATTTACCATTCTTTGAACCACTTAACAGCTGGAGTGTTAGAGCTGATGAATGTCCGTCGTTCGAAGGGGTTGTGGAATGAGTGATGCTCCATAAATGCAATAGACTTGATGGGTCTGGTTCTGCTAATTGAACTGAACAGAATGGTTTAATTATGAAGAAATTAGGGTTTCATTCACATGGGTCATTCTTGAATTCAGAGGAAAAACAAGAAATGCGTTGGCGATTGCACGACAGCACGAGCTGGTGCTTGAAGCTGGCGGTGGCAGGAAAGTCTGAACTCTGAGGAGCGGCAAAAAGGCATTTGCGAAATGGTGAAAGACTGAAACCCGTTTCCGATTCGACTTGGGTTATGATATTAGAGGATTCGGGTAGTCCGATTCATGAACCAAATGGTTATCCGGATCCAAATTTTTATTTTGTCATAGCATCACTTGTTATAGTTTAAACGGCTTGTTTGTTTACCTTTTAATAATTTTATTAATAGATAGTTTATGAATTGTTAATAGGTGAATTTTATTTGGCAAAAAAAAATCTTAATAGTTTTAAAACTTTCTAAATGAATTTATATCATGGGTCTTCCTTAACCATTCAGTGCCCTAATTTCATTGTGTACTATATTATTGATAATCTCTTGATCATTCCGATCACTTATTTATTCAGCACCAACTCATTCAGCAACTGTCAAACAACCCTACGCGACTTACGAGATATTTGGTTGGTTTTTCAAGTCTTATATGGATAAGTTGTCTGTGTGGATTTATTTATCCGTCTAGATTGTAAATATTTTTGTTGTGAAGGGTTTTTTCATAAATAAAATAAGCGTGTCTTTTAATTGGAAGGAGGGTGGTTAAAAAAACTTGATTTTTTTACATAAAACTCTCTTATAAAATACTATTGATAAGTCATTTTTTATATTATTAAGTCACCAATAAATAGTCACGTATAACCAACAAGTAAGTTATGAATTTTACTGAACTCGTTAAACTCCTAACAAACGAGCCCTTAGGGCTAGGATTGCTCAAAATACTGACTAATCCAACCAACCCAGCCTGGAAAAGCCTAAAAGAAATCAACCTGAGGTAACATGATACATAATTGATACAAAATTAGGTCAACCAGCATTTATTAAGTTGGAATTGAGTTATGGTTATTTGAACCCAACCCGATGTCCTTCTATGCTATGAATCTAATATGATTCTTAAATCATTAATTAACATATGTACATTAGACGTTAGATCAATCTATAGTTTGGTAAAATTCAAAATTATATCACAATTTTAACCGTAATTTTACTTTCTTATTTACATTAACCTTCAGTTTCTTTTTTAGTTCGTTAGTATTTTTTTATATGTCATCATTTTGATTTTACTTTGTTTAAACACAAACACTTACATAGATTGTAAAATGATGTACTAAAGTTTCAACCAAATCAACCCTAACCAAAACGCACGGGTTGGGTTAGGTTGGGTGGTAGTTTTGCTTGAGTTGGGTTGAGGGTTGTTAAACTACAAACATTGGGTTGGTTTGTCCAAATGTCTTAAACCCAACTAACCTAACCCATGTACAACCCTACTTAAGGCATGTTTGTTATCAATTTAACGAGCTTAATGAGACTTATAGTTTCTTCAGTATATATATATATATACATATATATATATACATATATATATATATATATATATGTGTGTGTGTGTGTTCGGTAGTATATATATATGTGTGTGTGTGTGTGTTCTGTAGTGGCTTAATGATATATACAATAGTTTATTCAGTAAGTTTATAGGGGGTTTTATGTATTAAAAAAATCCCAAGTCGGCCTCTTCTATCTATGAAAAAACCTTCCAAACTAAATATAATCTATATATACATATTAATCTATACATACAGCTTTATTTATACATGACTTAATGAAAACTAACAAAACAACCATTAATTATTCTATGTTATTTTATTTGCATTTTTCGCTACATGTAAGGAGCCTTTTTCTAAACACTAACATTGGTAAGTGCTCACCGGTTCAATTACCTTAAAGGATGAACACAAAAAGAACATAGAAAATTACCTGGTTAGAGAGAAGAGAAAGATCGATAGTTTTACCCGGTAAGTGAGGGTGATGACTTTTATCCGTTAAACGCTTACCGGATTATAAATATTTATCATCAATCCATTTGGATGGGCAGGATGATATTTTATAAGGCAAGGGAGAACGGCGAATCTTGTCAGTAAGAGTTAGCATTAAACAACCTAAATCCTATTCTTTATAAATAATATATTTGATAATAAATAGTTAGGTTCGAGGGGAAACTGCAAAAAAAAAATGAAAAACTGAGAAACATCTAGGTGACCATTAATCTGGACGGTATGCAGTTGCGCATACCGTCCATATGAGTGGCTACTAGAGTGATTCTCAGTTCTTTTGGGATTTTCTTGAACCCCATCTGACAATAAATATACAATATATTTGATATACGAAAACGAGACGAGTCAAGGATCACGTTTCTCAACCCCATCCCTAGTCCCGGGTTATACGAGAAATCTCCGAACCCACTAGGTAAGGTACGTCAAGTTTCGGGTCTCATTCTCATACCCTAAAAAAAGAGTACATTTATTGGGCTCTTAACAATAAAAACTGGGCCTTGGTCTTTAGAGTTTTAGTATGGGCCAAGCCCACTTACAGCCTTTTTTAACTCTCCAGAAACACAGTATTCATTCTTCATCAACATTTTGGTACGGGCAGCCGGGCAGCTCTTCAGCAACTCATCATCGTCATCGACATCGTCACTCTTCCCGCGCCTTTCACCACCACCTCCGTCGTACGTTTTCGTCTTTTACTTTATTCTTCCGATTTGAACAGTCTGATCGTCTTTTAGTTATTACATGTACATGAGAAAATCGATATTGATTTCTCTACGTTAACTTTGATTTTAGTTTTTCCATGAAACAGTAATTTCACACACACACACATGTAGATATTCCTGTTTCTGATCTGTATGATCGTGTAGATATTTGAGAATTTTTTTGTTTTAGGAGAAGATCTCTGTTGTAAACCCTAGCTACGACAAGAGGATGTTGGTAGTTTTCTTTGTTTTAATTCACACACATAGAAGTACGTGTGTGTAATCTGTATGATTTTACGGGTTTTTTGAGATTGTTTGATGTTTAAACGACGGAGCGATATTATAAACCCTAACTAGATGGAATAAGCGTAATTCTGTCTTACAATACAAGCATGGACACGGATGGTAATTTATTTTGGTGAAACGGTAACTTTGGTAAACCCTAATACAGAAACGACACGAGGATGACGCTATCGGAAGAGGAAATTAGTCGTTTATTTAGGATCCGAAGAACAGTTATGCAAATGCTGAGAGACAGGGGTTATTTGGTTGGAGAGTTTGAGATCAATATGGGAAGAGGTGATTTCTTTAGGAAATACGGTGAGAATATGAAAAGAGAAGATCTTATCATCAGCAAGGCCAAGGCCAATGATTCCTCCGATCAGGTGCAAAACATTCTCTATTGTCTTTACCTGTTTATTTATCCTTTTCCAACGTTTCAGTTTATTGTTGTATTTAGTCGTTCCATGTAGAAAAAATAAACTTGACATTTTTTTAATAGAAGTTGTGTATGACCAAGGTTTGCCTGTTTCCAGCGTGCACTTGGTAAACTAGACATGACATAACATAACAGCACAAGCATATCGTTCCATGTTTGGCAGGACTCTTTTACGTGTAACAAAACAAAATAGAACAAGCGTGTTCCACCTCTACCCATAGAATGATGGAACAAGATGGACCCGACTAACTATTGTATTTTATGGTCTTTAGACTGTCCTCAAAATATTATTTTTACACGGTTTCTATAATTTGATTAATTTATGTAATTTATTAAATATTAGTAATAAAAAAAATAATATAGGAAAGGTATAAAATAAAATCCAAAAACTACATAAACTTTTTATTTTGGTGTCATTTTGATCGCATTGATGAAAACTTTATGATGAAATGTTTTGCTATAAAAATATTTATTTTATTATAATTTAATAAATTACATAAATTAATCAAAATATATAAAAAGTTTATTAGGGGTAAATTGGTTATTTTATTTGTCATGTCTTGTTTTGTTCTATCCTCGATATCAATCACACCCTTATTGTTCTTGCATGTGACATGTATTCATCATTTATCTTCCAGAATCCAATTTTGTGAAGTTCAAATTGATATTCACGAAGATATCAGTTTCCGGTCAGAATGAATACACTTCAATTTGAATTCCAAACTTCTAATTCGCTTTGCTAGATTTCTATCGAATAACCTTATCTTCCAAATTATATTTCTTGTTTGAGCACATCTTGGTTGCTAAACTTTGGCGAGACCGTGCATCACCATGCATCATCACCGGTGTTGTTTATATAAGATTTCTCATATTTGTGATTTTTGGATGTCAACATTCCACCAACTTTGTTTTACATAAAAATCCTGCCAAACGTTGAACAGTGATTCTTGTTCTGTTCTGTAATGTCCACACACTCTTAATGTGCAGAGACATTCAACACTTTGGTTTTTGGTTACATTTATGATTGGTCTATGATGTTTTTTGCTTGTTTATGTAAAGCTGATTCAATTCATTTTCTGTTGTCTTGTCAACCAGATCTATGTGTTCTTCCCCGAGGAACCAAAGGTTGGTGTTAAGACCTTGAAGACTTACACTGAACGCATGAGATCAGAAAATGTGTTCCGAGCAATATTGGTTGTCCGAGAAAATCTGACACCCTTTGCCCGAACTTGCATGAGTGAGATAGCTACAAAGTTTCAGTTGGAAGTTTTTCAGGTAATTTAACGTTTTCACTATGCTTTGGGGTAGGAGGTCAAGTCCCCGTAAATCATATCTAGACCCCACCTTTGGGTGGGATATATTGGGCTTGTTTTGTTTGGTTTGGTTTGCTGTAAGCTTGTTTGTTAGCAGCTTAATGAGACTCACAGCTTGTTCAGCAAGCTATACATGACTGATGACAGTCTGATAGTGGCTTAATGATATAGAAAGTGGCTTATTTAGTAAGCTTCTAAGGGGGAGCTTTATGTAGAAAACCAAGTTGTTCCTAAATCTGCCACTTTGTTAAAAAAATGCACACATTCCATTATGAAAAACCTTTCTAATCCATATAGAACTTAATGAAAAACCAACCAAACATCCACTATTTTTGGTCCACAGATGTTTTAGAAATTCGGTGTTCATGGATCTTGATTTCTTCAACCCCACTTAATAGATAAGCCAAGAAGATGGTCGTTTTTTCAATCATATTTAAAAAAGTATCATCAACTTTTTTTTCTTATTTAAATTCAGTTGCGTCTCAATGGTCAATCTGCATGTTAGCTTTATTGACTTAAGTGCAATCGTCTTTTATAATCATCCATAATTGTTTGCAAGGTTTTACTTGGTTATGTATTAATGGGAATGATTTTTGTTCCCCCAAACCTATTTGGCTACATGCCTGCATTATATAATAACATGCAAAAAGCATGATCAAGAAACTCTTAAGATATAATAAAAACATTGGAAATTAAACTACAAATAAGTTAAGAACATACAAAAATTATCAGCGTGATTAGTTATTCAGGGCAAAAAGGCGAAATTGAGTTCTTTTGTGCATCATTTTGTGTTGCATCTGGTGCTAACTTTCGTTATCTTTCTTTGCCATGATCAATACGGAAGCTTGGGCTGGTTCAGTCTTCAATAAATAATGTTTGTCATATTTCTAAGAGTACGTGTTTAGTTCTGATTTTCGGTGACAATTTATAGAAATGTATGTGTACGCACACTCATCCATTGATGCATATATGGACATATGTTCAGATATATAGAAAACTATATGAATCATTTTTTTTCGTAACTGGGAAAGCAGGCTAATCGTACCATATATTTGTCTGATAGAGGAGGTATCAACCTCTTTACAAGGCAACATTTGTTCCCTCTTCATGACGGAAATTGCGGTCTGGATTGATGGCTTATGAATCTGATGTTAGTAATGATGCTATGGTTTTGGATTACAGGAGGCAGAATTGTTGGTGAATGTTAAAGATCATATTTTAGTTCCTGAACACCAAGTGCTTACAGCTGAAGAAAAGAAGACTTTGCTGGCCAGATACACTGTCAAGGAAACACAGGTGCCTTTCTCATCATTTCTCAATTACATTATCTAATAAAGTCTAAAAATATCTCCCACTATTTTCTAGAGGAACCACTCTTGTCAATATTTTATTATTTAATATAATATTATTTCTCTCTTCAGAAAATTTATGGTTTTTTCTTTCTTTTGTTCCTGTTGGTCGGAATATATCAAAAATTATCTCTCTTGTTCTAATCATTTTCATTGGTGTTCCTCAAATTTGGAGAATTTTATACTTTGTATTCTCTCTTCTGCTTTTTCCATTTTGGAGACTCTGTCGGAGCAAAGAAACATGTCCGAAATCCTCAAAATTTTCATTTGGAAGAATCTTTGGCATGTCCAGAATCCTTAAAATTCCCATTTTAAAGAATCTGTTTGTTTGTGTGTATTTGTAGCTACCTCGAATTCAGGTGTCCGATCCAATTGCACGATACTATGGGTTAAAGCGTGGTCAAGTTATGAAAATTATTCGACCAAGTGAGACGGCTGGGCGTTATGTGACGTATCGATACGTTGTTTGAGAGAAAAGCTTGACTTTGGTTATTTTACTTTTTTTGTGTGGTTTGTATCTATCATTATATGCAAAGGAAAACCTCGACTTAGCCTAATTCTCTTGTTTTCATATCTAATACTAGATGTTGTCCATCTGATCTGATGTTTTTGCATGCATATACTAATGGTGTCGTTTACCGCATGTTTACATGGTAAGCTTTTATCGAGCGTCATTTACCTTACGGAGTTAATATGGCAAGAACAAAAATCTTACCAGAAACATAATAAAGTCCTAGACGTTAGACTAAATTGAGTTTAAAAAAACATTTTTAAACCACCATCTCTCGCATACGTAACCTATCCCCGTATGGAATGGGATCGTGAACCTTTTTCTTTCAACTATTTTCCACGTGTCATGATGTAATTGGTTGGGTTTAGTTTTTTAAAAGATAAAATGTTAAAAATATGACTTCAACAAAAAATGTTAAAAAAATACCATAATTCATGTTTTTCAGTTCCTTGTAAATGGAAATATAATATTACATATTTTCATTAGATTAATCTTATTTCTTTTTATTTCAATACTCTTATTATTTTGTAAAATTTATTTTTTTAGTTTTTCTCGATTTTCTATTATGAATCCAAACTTTTCAATATTTTTTAAACTTTTATACTTAAAACAGAAAAATAATAGCTATATATGACAAAAAATTAAATATATAATTTTTATAAAATAATATTTTAGATTGGATTGGATTACGTCTGAACAATAAAAAAGCAAGATTGAGTTGGAGTTGAAGATTGTATAGGTAAATGAGATATAAAGTAACATTTTAATTGATATTGAGTTGAAAAAAATTGTGAATAAACATGGTAAAGAAATGAGACCGGTTGAAGTTAAAGATTATGAAGTCGATGAAAAAGAAAGTAACATTTTAATTAAGATTGAGTTAAAAGAGATTCTGAATAAAAATAGTATTAAAATACATTACTGATTATGACCACTGATTTATTACCGTTACCGTTTATCAGGATTAGTCCATTCTTACGGAATAAATATGCCATCTGACAAATGAGGAGTTGTTCTGAATTCTGATTCCGAAAGAGGATATGAATCCAAAAAAGCCCAATTGGCCCACCGGCCAATATTGAAGTGAATTGATTCTCTAGGGCTAGATTCTGGTTTATACGCTTGTCGACGTTCAGACTCATGAATCATCCATACATCCATTAGAGTTTAACAGATGAAGCTCAAGCAATTAGAAAGTCTACTTGGTAATCTTCAACAATTCGACAATCCTAAGGTAGATTCATACACAATCATATACTTTGCGTATCCAATTGTTTTCTTATCGCTTTTTTTTTTCATACTGAATTGCAAAAAATCGAAGGTTAGATTCAAATGTCACATCAACTGTTTGATTTCTATATGAATTGCAGATTGAGCTGGAACAATACCCAACTGGAGCGCACATTGCTTCTCGTATGCTCTACACGGTACTTCTTTTATCTTCGTTTTGTTCTATTTTCAATTGTTTTTGTTGTTTTGCCTTTTTTTGAACTTTGATACTTGTATGTTTGTGTTTAGATGGAATTCTAGGTTTAGAATTGAGATTGGATCTCATATGTTCATATTTGAACCGATTTTGCTCCCAATTCTATTCAGCCGGATTCTAGGTGGGTCTGTTTCTTAATGGCGGTTGGTGCAATGGTACAATACGAAGTCTACGACCTAATTGTTTTGATTTCGATCAGAGATATGGGTGTAGGAGTTCATTTGTAGTCTCAATAAGAAAAAGGAATCATGGGTTCTGTCGAAATTGTGTTTCTAGTTTACTTGATGCTAGTTAACACCGACATTTGATCTATAAAAATGATGCATACAATCCGCTTTTGAGATTAGAAGGATGAAAGGGGTGTAAACGAATTGGACAAGAAAGTTAGGGGCCGATTACCCAAACTCTTACCTGTTAAGCGCTTTTCAGTAAGAGTCTGATACTCCAACTTACCTTACTAGTTAAGATTGTAGTCCATCAAAACAGTATTATATGTAACAATTAACCCGGTAAGCGCTTACCGTGTAAGAGTCGTTAGTCTCACTTATCGGGTAAGACCCTCCATCTTTATCCTCGCTCTTACCGAGTAAGATTCTCGGCCCTTGCCATGTTCATCTGGGGAGGTAAATAACCTGGTAAGCGCTTACCAGTTAAGCGTTTAGTAAACGACCCCTTACACTCCAAATTTAGTGGTTTCAACTTTCTAGTGAATGGTTTAATGAAGTTATAGTCCATTTGGCCAAATAAGAACCAGACTTGATCAGCTAAAATAAAATACAGATTGTGACTTTTGAGGGGAATCAATCACTTTTCAGCTTCAATTTTTATATGAGTCGCTTTAGTTTTTTGGGAAAATAACGAGATACTACATAAAGCTTGATCACAAATGCTTTGATTTGAATAAGTTCTAATCCATATATGACTATGTAAGGTAGTTCGATGATGTCCAATAAATGTTGTGTTTGTTTGGAGAGGAATATGTTGGTGGAATAGTTTGTTTAGAGCTTCAACATATTCTCCAAATTGGAGATTTTGGAGTTTTTATCCTATTATTTTGCACCAACAGATCCTCTAATATTGAGAAAGTGGGAGAGTGTGTAAAAATCTGCAAATTTGAAGAACCCTCGAAACTAAAATTCTGGTAGGGAAGAAACAATATTTATGTTTCCACAAATTAGATGTTGGAGGTTTGCGAGGACATTAACTGTATTGAATATTTTAACAATATTATTAATGCCCGAATCTCCAAAATCAGGAACCTGTTGGAGTTGGATGTATTTTTCTAGAGATTTTTCCTTCTTCGTTTTTGAGAAATTACAAAGAAACTGTTGGAGAAGAGCCATGTATTATGGAACAGTGGCAATGCAAGCTTTGTTGATAGAACTCCTAATTGTTATCATTTCTTTCTTGGAGAGAGACATGTTAATTTCTTTGATAGTTTCTTTTTCTCCCCCTATCTAGCTTCGTAAAATGAATGCTTTTTTGTTCATTTTTACTTGACTAGGCAGAGAATTCATTTGGGGATGTGAGCAACAAAGTAGTAGCGGATTTCGGATGTGGGTGTGGCACATTAGGTCTTGCTGCTACTCTCCTCGATGCAGAGTGAGATTTTCTAACTTTCCCATTGGCCTCTTCTACATTGTTTTTTGTCAGATTTTGTGTTCAACATCTGGGATGTTTTATATGTATCTGCGATTCGAGTCTTTGACTCTAAGTTGGTGTTTAATAGACATGTGATTGGCCTAGATGTTGATGACGAGTCCCTTGAAATTGCATCAATTAACGCGGAGGATCTTGAGGTAAATTCTTCTTTTCTACTTGTGGTTCTTTTTTGTTACTAATATGAACTTTGGAAAAAAAATGCATTATTAGGTCAATACTGATTAGATACTAATGGTGTTGAAGTCTAGGCGAGTAGGATGCTAAAGTGTTTGATTTCATACATATTTTTACTAAAATGTTTAATTGTTTGTCTAATGTCTTAAGCCACCCTTTAAAGAAAGACAAATAATCTTTTGGACCCAAACCAAGGTCATCATTTTTGATATTGATATTAATGGGCTAACATGTAATTTCACCTTGGAATCTTTATTAAGAAAATGAATTGTTGATTTTCTTGACATTTCAAAAGAAACATGCTGTAGTTTCCATAGGAGAATGGGAGTAGTTGTTCAAGACACGAAAACCATATACTCCCTCCATCCCAAAATAAGAGTCCACTTTCGAAAGTAAGTGTGTGCTTTCCAATTCTATCCTTAATTATGAGATAGAGAAATTCATTACGTTCTCTATTATAAAGGGTAAAATTGTCATTTTAGTTTATAAAAAGTGGGATCTCTTATATAGGCACCAAAAGGGTCTTCAAGTGCTTAGAAGTAGATCTTGAGAGCATCTCCAACAAATTCTCTAAAATAGAGAAAATGCGGGGCTTTTGTTTTCTATTTTGTTCCAAAAAATTATCTATATGGTTCTCTAAAGTAGAGAAAACTAGAGAAATCTCGAAGTTTAGAGAATTCTCTAAAACTTGATGTGTGGAGAGAGAAATTATTTTTTTATTCATTCCCACCAATGAGATTGAGTCACTATTATATTATATAAATTATTTTTTTATTCATTCCCACCAATGAGATTGAGTCACTATTATATTATATAAATTATTTTTAAAAAGTGGATTGAGATATGATAAATTTATAGAATATTTTAATATTATAATGAATGTTGAAATCTCTAAAATAAAGAATCTGTTGGAGTTAAATGTAATTCTTTTTAGAGAAATTATAGAGAATCTGTTGGAGATGCTCTAGGACCAAAATATAGAACTACTTTTTCTAGCATCCTACTTCCAAACGGGATTTCGACATCATCAAACATCCTTGATCATCTATTATAAGAGATTCTTAGCATTATTGTGATATGTATCAGGTCGAAATGGGTTTAATTCAATGCGAAATCAAGAACTTAAGATGGCAAGGTCTCTCTCTCTCTCTCTCTCCCCTCTCCTCTCTTTCTCGCCCTCTCTCCGTGATCTTAGCACCATTTTATAAAGTTCCATTTTATTGTATGCAATGCCATGTTAGGAATATTGTGATCTTGTCATTTTTTTGCATTTTAATGACTATCAGATTATCATCTTTGTGCTATTGCATCGGTGATTCATTTATCACATATATCACACTCGCAGACTGACATAATACTCCCTCTGTCCCAAAATAAATGTTCACGATGAAAAAAAGACAATTTTAGAAATGTAATTATCACACTTTTTAATTAACTAAGGGACTGTTTGGTTGGTTTCCCATTAAGTCCTGTATGGATAAAGTTGTCTGTATAATTGGGAAAGGGTTTGTTTGTGAGGGTTTTTCCATAGATGCAAGGAGCGTGTTTTTAATTGGGAGGGGCAGTTTTGGAAAAAAAACTTGGCTTTCTACATAAAGATCCCCGTATAAGCTTACTGAATAAGTCACTTTCTATATCATTTAAGCCACTACGAAACAATCATGTATAGCTGACCGAATAAGCTGAGTCTCATTAAGCTGCTAACAAACAAGCCCTAAATGACAATTTTACCCTTAATAGCAGAGGGAGTAATGAGTTTCTCTGTCTCATAATTAAGGATAGAACTGGAAGTAGGCACCGACTTTTGAAAGTGGATGCTTGTTTTGGGACAAGCCAAAATAGAAATTTGGACACTTATTTTGGGATGGAAGGAGTAATCCACATTGATATGTTCGTTTGCTTGGTCAATTTACGGACCTAGGATGATTGATATTTAATTTTGATTCTCCATTTCGAAGAAATTTTGGAGAATCTGTTGGAGATGCTCCTAATTTCGCAATTGTATCTTTACGAGAACTTAACTACTAAAATGGTGTTATCTTTGAAGGCCAAATTGTTGATACCGTTGTAATGAACCCTCCATTTGGAACGCGAAAAAAAGGTGCTGACATGGAGTTTCTGTCCACCGCATTGAAGGTAAAACTGATGGCATGGATCGCACTTTTAACTTCTCGAGTGTGTTTTTACCCCTATATTTAAGTGACGTAATGCATACGAACTTATCAGGTTGCTTCTCAAGCCGTTTACTCGTTACACAAGACAACAACACGAGAAGTAAGTCCCTGTTTTTGCTTTCGATTCATGATTGCCAAGTACTTGCCCGTTGTCACATAATAATTACATTTGATATCCCACATAGATTATAAGAAGTGTTTGATCATTAACCGTACGTTTTATTTATCGTTTGATAATGACAAAATAGACAAATCTTGTGGCTCAAATTCACGTCAACTATGACTGATAAGTTGGTTGTTAGCTGGAAGTCTGGAACAGTAGTTGGCTAATAAGTAATTGTTAGTTGATAGACTGATCATGTTTAGTAAGAGCTTCTCCAACACATTCTCCAAAATGGAGAAAATAAAGATCTTGGGGATTTTGGGCAATGTTTGATGAGCTTATTGAAAAGTTTGATACGCTAGTTGTTAGCCGAAACGATAGTTGTTGGCTATTAAGTAACTGTTAGTTGATAGACTGATCATGTTTGGTAAAAACTAGATGACAATATAAGATAACCTAAAATAACATGTTTTGAAAAATATAAGGGAAATTAGTGGAAATCAAAGTGGAAAAAGTTTTCTAAAGCTTATCGAAACGCTACTTGAAGTAATGTTTCAAAAAGCTAGTTTATGGCTGCCTAAACGGCAGTTTTTCAATAAGCTAAAAAAATAATCGGGCTAATAGTTGCCAAACATGGCCATCATCACTCGTCATTTTGTTGTAACGAATACAGGAACGTAAGTACATAGATAATTTTTTTTTTTTGCAATTTTCACAGTACATCCCGAAAACGAAATTGTTCCATTTTCATAGGACATCGTTAAACAAACATGTTCATGATTCATAGGGAATGAAGGAAAACTGAGAACATATCGTAAGAACTGCCATTCCAGCTCGTTTTGCAGCTCAAAATCTTGTTCTAATGGTTTAAGGGCCTGTTTGGTTAGCAGCTTAATGGAATCACAACTTATTTGGGCAGCTATACATGACTGATTGATAGTGGCTTAATGTTATATAAAGTGGCTTAACCAGTAAGCTTGTAGAGGGGAGCTTTATGTAGAAAGCCAAGTTTTTCTAAACCTGTCCCTCCGATTAATAAACACGCTCAGTCCATCTGTGAAAACCCCCTCCCAATCTATATAGACAGATTAATCCACACAAATAGCTTTATTCATAAAGGACTTGATGGAAAACCAACCAAAGGTTAACATTTCCGGAGAAGAATGATTTGATCATTTCTCTTGCAAAATTTGAATCTTTTTCCTGGTGTGGTGATTGTAGCATATCAAAAGAGCGGCATTGCGAGATTATGGTGCTAGCAGCGCGGAGGTTTTATGCGAGGTACGTCAAATTCACTCGAGCTTTACCTTATAACTCTTCCTGTTCGGCCATGCTTGGCTTCCAAAAGCTAGCTTATTTTCTAAGTTTATTGAAAAAGACTCGTTTGGTCAGCCATTCAAGTAGCGTTTCAATAAGTTCCACGAGTTTTTTTCTTCCAATTATGCCCTTCAAGTAGCGTTTCGGTATGTCCTTTTATCTCGTTTTACACTTTCATCTAATTTTCATCTAGTTTATCGGCTAATAGCCGGTTCCCAGCCAACAACCTGCTTTTCTGCTAACAACTACCTTCTCTGCCAACAATGACCTTTTTGGCTAACAACCAGTTTATCAGTTATTTAGCCAAAGATAGCCTTACGATCCGTTTGTTTGCAGCTTAATAGGACTTGCAACTTATTCGGTCAACGATACGTAATTGTTTGGTGGTGGCCTAATGATATAGAAATGGCTTATTCAGTAAGCTTTTAGGGGGAACTTTATGCAGAAAACCAAGTTTTTTTTCCAAATATTCCCCCCAATTAGAAAATTTATTCCTTGCATCTACGAAAAAAACTCTCTCAAACAAAAACCTTCTCAATCTATACAGACAAATTATTATACATACATGACTTAGTTGTTTTTAGCTTGTTCAACTATATATGTTTCTTAACCGAGCTTGCAAATTTCCAGCTTCGATACGATCTCCCAAAACAATACAAATTTCACAAGAAAAAAGACGTTGATATCGCTGTGGACTTGTGGCGGTTCGTTCCTAAACCAAAACATGAATCTTCTTCATGACGAAAACTCTTGCATCGATCGCTCATAAAATTTGTTGATTTATGTAATTCTGATGTTCGTGTTCATATTAATCTTGGATTTTATGGAAGGATTTTGAATTTTTGGAGTGTTTGGTTTGTAGGGTTTGGAATCGAATTGAAATTATATGGATTGTAGAGTTCAAGAAAATTATTTAAGAATTATAATTACTAGGGATGAAGCTGGTACAGTACCAAGTTTTTTTTTTTTTTTTTTTCTTCTGTGTATCAATCAGTTATAATTGGTACATAAATTCTTGTATCGTGTACCAACCACGTGTACTTGATACCGACTTTTTTTTAGGTTGATACATGTTTTTTTAAGTAAATAATATTTATATACGACAAATAGAACAAATAAACTTACACATTCTTCTCACTCTTGGTGAGGTTTGAGCCCCTGACTTGTTAGGAGGCCAAAGACTCACATACCGCTAGGCCAAAGGCCATTTGGTTGGACAACGTACTTTCAAAATTTCTATTTTAGTATCTAAGATGTAAAGTTTTAAACATTTAAGTACCTGGGTATTCGGTTGAAACATTAACCGTTTACCATGCTGATGTGACGAGTAATGTGGTATTTAACTCAGTATTATTTGCTGACATAAATATCTTAATATAAAATTAGTTTTTTGGTTTATTAGAAGAAAAAGTTAATGTTTCAACCGTTCATCCGAAAATTTTAGAAAATTTAAATGTTTAATATTTTACATGATGGGTATTAAAATGAAAGCTTTAAAAATATGTTACTTAAAATAAGAATCAAATTAAAATACGTAATTTTTTTTTTTATGCTATTTGATTTTTCTTTCCAACATTACTTGCCGGATTTTCTCATTAATATATTTTTGTTTCCAAAAAAGAAAACAAGGAACAGCGGAACATGTACGGTCTAAAGTAACAAAAAATGCTAGCGTTCGATTTCACGTCGCTAGAATCTTGACGGTTTAAAACGTATGAACCTCTCGTTAGACGGTGGACGCCGAAACACTTGATAATTTCTCGTGCTTGGAGTTCAAGGAACGAAAAAAGGAACTAATTCCAAGTTTCAAACCTGTGGAAAGTTTCTGTTCACGAATTCGAAGAATTTTCCTGTAATATGCTCGATTGATATGAGAAAATGACGATGATGATGTTAAGGAGCGGTTTACCGGCGGCGAGAAGATTGATTTTTCTACGTTTCTTCTCATCATCGTCGGCCAAAATTGATGCGATGCGTTCTGGTGGTGTTGCCAGTGGTTTAGCGGCAGAGGATCTGCTGTTGGACGAAGAATCTGCTCCGACCACCGCTGTAAAGTCTAATATAATACCTACGCTTCTACAGCCGCGCGTTGTGGTCTATGATGGAGTCTGTCATCTCTGTCACCGAGGTTTGGTCACGATTCCTGCTTATGGTTGATAAAATATGCTTTGTAGTTTGTGATTTGGCGGTCTAAATTGTTTGATCTTTGTTCCAATCCGTAAAACCTTTGGAAAGTCTGGCTCGTTATATCTTTGTATCTTCATAATTTGTTGTTGAGCTGTTCGTGCATTTCACACATAATGTTCAAATTTAGGGTTAACTGATGATTAGTGATTACAATTCCAGTTTACTAAGCATGTCTATTTTTGTTCCTCTAATTATGCTTTTGGAAGCTGGATAGGATTACCTGCCAGTGAAAAAACCTGGATTCCAACATTTTTGCAGGCAGGCAATTAGAAATTGATGGCTGAAATGAGATGTTAATGATTTATTTCCGGAGAAATAATGTCTGATTTTAGCATTTTCAATTCAGCAATTACTCATTGAATGCTAAAATGAGATGTGTTTTGTACCACCACTAGGGAACTAGCAGAAGACCCAGTCCATGCTCACAACCCATGTGTCACAGGATCTCACATGCTCAAGGGTCTGTTTGGTTGTTTTCCATTAAGTCCTGGATGGATAAAGATGAAGGAGTGGATTATCTGTCTGAATAAATTGAGAGGGTTTTTGTTTGCAAGAGTTATTTCATAGATGGAAGGAGGTGTTTTTGTAATTGGGAGGGGCAAGTTTGGAAAAATCTTGGCTTTGTGCATAAAACTCCCCCAAGAAGCTTACCGAAGCCACTTTCTATATCATTAAGCCGCTACCAAACAGTCATGTATAGCTGACTGAATAAGTTCTGTGTCTCATTTAGCTCATTAAGTTGTTAACAAACGCCTTAAAGTTTACCCCTTCACAAGAAACTTTGGATGATCTTTAACTTGTTTCTGTAGGGGTGAAAGTTGTTATTAAAGCAGACAAAGATAGGAGAATCAAGTTCTGTTGCCTACAATCTAAGGCGGCTGAACCATACATGAGAATTTGTGGTGCCGATCGTGAGGATGTTCTTCGTCGTTTCTTGTTCATCGAAGGACCAGAGGCATACCACCAAGGGTCGACTGGTTAGTGCTCTTTTTTATACTAATGTTCTTGTTTATTTATATGGTCTACTTCTTCCACCATTAAAGAGCTTATGCAGCCACCTACAAGACGTATAAGTCCTCGCATTAGAAGTCATACTTGGTTCATGGGATTGCTGTCAAAGTTAAGTCACTTTTAGTTTGATATACATGGGTTCTTTCTGCAAATGTGGATCCTTGTTGGCATGAACAGGTTCTGGATGGTAATTTTATTGAGTAATTGACATTTGTTAGTTGTAACTGCAGAAATTCCAACAAAAAAAAACTATGCATGGACACCTTGAACATTTTGTCTCAATTTCTGCCATTACAATGTTTTTTTCTGAAAGCTAAACCAATTACCAATTTACCATGGTTAGAAGTGTTCATGTTTTCTAAGTGTTAATGTGTTATTTTTTCTTTTTTGAGATTTATGCGGCTGCAATGTTTTTTTAAGCCAAGCCAAGTACAATGATTACAAATGCTGTGCACTCTATTATAATTTAAGGTGCCTATCGTAAATGAGTGGTGGCTTGGGTAATGCCATTCGATGAGACGATGATGGATCTAGAGTTTCTTTGGGGACATACCAACCGACAGTTTAGACTGAAATGTTGCTTAAGAAGGAGAGTAGGTTGTGAACAATGTTTGATTGTGAAGAGAGAACACAATGCCTTTATACTCTCATGTCATGAAAATTGCAACTACTTCATTTTGGGACTTTTTTTCTTTTTAGAAAGTTCTAAGATTTGGAGTTGGTTGTTTGCTATTTATCACCATTAAAAGTAGATTTTAGGTATGAATTTGGGTTCCCAATATTCATTTAGTTCGTCTTTGCTTGATGTTATTTTAGGTATTTGACTTGATTGGCTTCCTGACACTCACAAATCTGATAGTCAATCATTTTGCTTAAACTATATGCCAAGTTATTCATTGATGGTTGGAATGTGATTCAACAATAATAGTTTTCGGGAGCTACTTCAAGACTTGCAAAAGAAACTTTATACTCTACTCAGAGAACAGTTTTGGATAATTATATATGTGCAACTGTGCTGGGACAAACGATTTCCAAGATGGTAAAATCTTTAGACTTAAGCTCCTACTAAGAAAATTTGCAGATTTAAAATCAAGTATGAGACAGGAATAAAGGACACATAGAATGAAGGGACCTATTTGGCTATTTGTGAACTGTAATAGTCAGGGGTTGTTTTCCAATTGCTGGCCTCCTCTTATTGGGTAAGAGACTCTTAACTTGGTAAGTGGTGAGGTTGTTAATTACACACTTTGACCGATAAATGATGCTGATTGAGATGCTGACTCAGTAAGGCAGGAAAGACTCTTACTCGATCAGCGCTTATCCAGACCAAACCTCTTACCCAGACCAAACTCTTACCCCTTTAGCGCTTACCCAGGTTGTGTTGGTTAACACCCCCTTAGTTTTTCTTTGACATTTTTAGGTCTCAACATTTTGATTCATATTTTTAGGTATGAACATTTAGTGGTCGTTTACTAAACACTTACCTTGGTAATAGCTTACTGGTTCAATTACCTTACCGGGTAAACATAACAAGGACCGAGAATCTTACTGGTAAGAGGGAAGGCAAAGATCAAGGGTCTTACCCGGTAAGTGAGGGTGATGACTCTAACCCAGTAAGCTCTTAGCGTGTTTAAGACACTTAATCAACAATCCATTTTGATGAAGGGGAATGTTAAATAATCTACTATCTCTTGCCGGCAAGTGCTTACCGGGTAAGTGTTTGGTAAATGGCCCTTTAGATGTTTAGGTATGAACATTTAGATTCATATATTTTTAGGTAATTTGGATTAATGTATTTTAAGGTATGAACATTTATGGGGTGTTTGGTTCAAGCGGGGGGGATGGAAATGGGAATGAAAGTGAAAATGACAACCATGAATGAAAATTTGGGCTTATGAGGGAATGAACTCATTATATTATATAAAAATAAACAGTTTCTTTTATTTTCAATCCCATTAACTACTGCTAATACCTCAAATCGAACACTCCCTAAAATTCATATATTTTAGGTATTATAAACATTTGGATTCATATATTTTTGCAGCTGCACTGAAGGTGCTTTCTTACTTACCATTACCGTACTCGGCATTAAGCACTCTCATGATCGTGCCAACTCCCATAAGAGATGCTGCATATGACTACATTGCCAAGCGCCGATACGAGTGGTTTGGCAAGGATACAAATTGCTTGGTGTTGAAAGAGAAGGAATTGCTTGAACGGTTCATCGATAGAGACGAAATGGTTAAGAAGAAATGGTCAGATGACTAATTCTGCATCTTTAAGGTTATATACCTAAAGAGTAAGATTCAGGGAAACACCCAAAAAAAATGAAAAATTGAAAAACACTCTAATAACCGTTCATCTGTAATACAGATATGCACATGTTCATACAAGTAATTGAAGATGTTTCTTGGATTCTATGCGTGTATATACTGTTCAGATGAACGGTTATTAGAGTGTTCCTCGGTTTTTTATTTTCTTACGGCTTTCCTCTGAACCTTACCCTATACATAAATATCTCTTTTTTCCATATCTCAGCAAGAAGCTTAGTTTTAGGTTGTAAATAAGTAGCAAGGTTACAAAGTGAGTTGGGGGGGGTTAGTCTGTTGATGAAGGGAAAGAATAGAAATCCAAATCGTTCTTCTATTTTCCGAAATGTTCATCTGAGTCCTCGTAACTCGGAATCCGAAGGAATTGTTTGGTAACATGAACGGGGAAAGTTCGAAACTGAACGGTTACGGATTGTGGTACCTGTTGGCTAAATTTACACTTATTACTTGTTAAATGCACACCTACTTACTAATTTCCTTTTCATAAACACCGGCTTCAAGATTGAAGACCAACTTTTTTTTGTTTTTAATATATGATTTGACCTAATTTTGATGTAAATGTGCACGCATATAACATCCATAAACAAATTTTGTATAAGGACATGGGTATACATGTAAAATTTTAGACAAAATGATGGGATTTTTGAAGGAACCATAACTATGGGTTTTGAAGAAATTTCAACTTATTTAGGCATTTAGCAAATCATTGATACAAGTTATTTGAACAAATCCATTTATTATTATTTGAAGATGGTTCATAAATGCTCGTATAACTTGTAAAAGCTTATATAAAAATGGTGTATTAACTCGTGAGATTTCTAAGAAATGGTGTATCATGTGCTGTTTCATATGATTTTTTTAGTTTATGGTTAGAATTTAACATAGTGATTAACATATATTTGTTTCATGTGTATTCAGCGTTCACAATGTGAAGCTTTTTCGTGTGTTTGTGGGAAAAAAATACATGTAAAAAAGTTTCAGGTTATGAACTGAATACATATAAAATTAACACATTGTGAAACAAATATTTGTTAATCAATATATTAAATATTATACTTGGATGGAAAAAAACATGTAAAAGGAACATTTTATAAAAGTTCTTATGGATCTCATAAATTTTAAAGTTCTTAAATGATTAAGTCTCTCTCTATATATATATATAATCTTAAACTAGAACGGTACCCGCACAAAGCAACGAACTATATCTTCATTTTAATGTTTCTTTACATTTTGTCCGTTGATATAATACGATTTATGTGGTTTTGAGAAATATAATGTTTTTTACGATTTAGTGAAGTAATTTATTATTGACTTAACAATAAAATTTCATAAAGATAATGATTCTATTAGAACTTAATGATTATTCTAATTATATTTTAGATTTTTTATATTTAAAATGAGATGTTCATCACGTATTTAATTATTTTTATCTGCAATTAGTTATACAAATTCAACAATAGGGCTTTAATAAGTTGTACTTACGCACAATTTACTTGTAATCTTAAATTTTAAATATTATGCATTAATACACAGTATTTCATCCATAAAGAATGGTTTTTAAAATTTTTTGTCAAATGCTTTATAATACAGTATAGATAAACAATTTTATCTTTAACAAGTCCGAAAAACATAAATTTAATTACAATCTAATATTTCATACAAATTAATTTTTTTTACAATGACAAAAAGTAAAAGTAAAAGTAAAAATGGTAGTGATTCTATCATACAAATAAAAGCCCAAAGACATGTTTTCATGAATAACTTAACAAATTTACAGCTTCAAGAAACAAAAATGAAGTCATAATAACATAAAAACCATAACAAATTTACAGATTAAGATGACAAGTTTTCCAAAAGAAAAAAAGAAAACTCTTGTTTTATAGAAATCCTATCTTAAAAGCAACAGTAGCAAAATGTACAAACACAAATGCATGATGAATACAAATGCTATATAGATTTGTTATTTCCATTCAGCAGTTTCTTTTCACATCATCTTTCATTTCCATTCAGCAAGTTTTCCTCTTGTCAACCTTTACATGAATATTGAACCATTTCTTCTTCTTTCCTCGATGGTCCCTTGACGACGCCTTTTGATGCCCATCTTCTTTCGACTCTTTTCGGTTTTTACTTCTACGACCACTGCTACTAGTACTACTACTGCTACGTTTTGTTGTTGGGCTTGTAGTTGTGTACGACGCATGTATCTCGTTTCTTTCTTTAAGAAGCTCATCAATCTACCAAAACAGTTAATCGTACCTTTTAATTTGACAATGTAAAATCATAATCCAAATATTATGCAACAGCCTAGAGTAGAGGGATCCTTGCGGGTGAGTTTGGTACATAAACAGAACTGAACTGGCGAATGTGTGGTAGGCAGGTGAAAATTGTGCAAGTTCGTAGGGTTTTTTATCTGACATGGGTAGTTTAATAATATCTCCAATGAAAGGTTTTCATAAGCAAAAGATGTCATTCTTATAAGTCACTACCATCAGAGAGAGTTCTAAGCCACTCACATTTTAGTATTTACGTTGAATTTTGTGTGAAATGACATTTTATTAATTTTTATATATTTTTTACTTTCGTTATTAAAAATATAATAAGCATATCATGTTGAAAAAGATACATGTGCCCACAAAAAGGGTTCTTATAAGAACCCAGTTTTTGCAATTTTTTTGCCAAATCATTTCCAACTCACCAAATCAATAACCTATATAAAACCCCATAATGATAGTTTTTATAAGAACCCATTTTGTAGGTCCTAACTCCTACGTATAATATAAGTTAAATAAATATATACATATTAATTATTATGTTATTATGTTACTAACAGATTGTCACTCCACACAAACTTCAAGGTAAAAACAAGGTTCTTGTACAAGAACTCAAACTCAAAGAAGGTGAGGTAGTTATAAGAACTCTCTACAATGTTTGGTTCTTGTAAGAAGCTATATTTTGAGTTATTATGATCCCATTGGAGAAGCTCTAATTTACCAATCTTGTCACATCTCACTGATTTTTGTTTTGACTATTTGGTTTGGGATAGAAAAATTGATATTATTGTCCCAGTCAATCCTAACTTATCTCAGTCTCACTATCGTACCAAATACGGGACAAGAAGTTTTTGTTCTGACTTGTACCGTGACACATGATTATGGAAACAAGTTCAAGTCTTGATCAAGTGTTCTAACTCACTGACCCAAATCGGTAACTATAAAATGATGACAATGGAAAATTATTTTCTTTTTATACAACTAAAATCGGTTGTGCAACATCCCGGACTGATAGAGGAGGTATCCAATTCCTTACAAGGCAACCTTCGTTCTCCTCTCCTAAACCGATGTGGGATCTTACAATCCACCCCCTTGGGAGCCATCGTCCTCGCTTACACACCAGTACGAAACCTGACTCTGACACCATTTGTAACATCCCAAACTAACCGTACCAGATTTTGTCTGTTTTATCCACACCTAGACTCACGGTTCTAAAAAGCGTCTGATAAAGGAAGTGTCCAGTTCCTTATAAGGCAACCTTCATTCCCTTCCCCAACCGATGTCGGATCTTATAAATTATAGAAAAAGAAATGCGAGAATTATCACGAGATGGTGCGAGTGTCGTATTTAAAAGAGATGGGAAAATATTTTTGCTTACCGCTTGCATTTCGTGAGCGTATCTGCTAGTCATCTCTGTGAATTGTGCAAGAACCTGTCAACATACAAAAAACATCGAATACGAGCATTAAACACAGGAGATGCCATTTATTTTGTAGACAGATGAAGCCGATCATTAATTAACTGACCTGTTTATATTCACTTTCAAACTTCGAGAGTTCCAACCGTTTCGACAAAATCTGTGCTTCAACTGCTCTCAGACTTTCCTTTTCTTCTACAAAAGAAGCTGTGCAGATAACTTCTATTGTGTAGCTTACACTTTTAAAGAAATTGTCACCTACAAAAGTAGCCCACAGTATCAACAACCATCATGAATATCTATCAGGTTTTCAAATATTAAGGTTCTCATTTGACCCTGCCCCTCCCGATATAAAAGCCACATTTGCCTTCTTGGCATTGTTACGGTTAAAATGACTTGTTTGCCCATTTGTGACCATTGCAAATGTCAGCAGTAATTTGTTTTTGGCCCCTTAGACTTCTCTATTTTGCCATTATTATGAGATATATGCAAGAAATCTGACTAATAGTCAAACACTTTTTTCTAAACTATATGATCAGTTGCAACTAACCATAAACAGCAAATGTATGCATGCCAGCTTTAATTTCATTTATTTCACACGGCTGAAATCCATCGAGCTTTTGGAAGAATGCAGCATCTGGATCCTTCGCAGATGCCATCTGAAGCCGATTCAACAAGAAATTACAGAGAATAAGATTATGTGAATCGAAGTACCAGTTGAATTGTCACAATTACATAAATCTGTGGCTCAAAATTTACTCACCGAATTAGATGGTCGATCCAATCGATAGACTGGGAAACCAAGAAAATACATTCCAGCAGATGTCACTTTTCCTGTTTTTGCACTATCTTCCTGCAATGGTAATTGATCTTATAAAGTACAGATTATATAATTAACTGGAACTGATATGAACACAACTCCGGCAATCGCATACACTTCCTCCGTCCAAAATAAGTGTCCACTATAAAAAACAAGGGTCCGTTTGGTATCCAGGCAGAACAAGACAGTTGTTCACCATTTGATAAGATGGAATTGTACAAAACTGAACAGATAAAATGACCTATTTACCCTTGATGAGCTGTTTATAGCTTTATATATTTTGATTAATTTATGTAATTTATTAAATTATAAAAAAATAAATATTTTTTACAACAAATTTCATCATTAGAAAGTTTTCGTCAAGAATATTAAAATGACACCAAAATAAAATGTTTATGTAGTTTCCAATTTTTTATTTTATACCGCCAAACGTGGAACAGTGGTCCCTGTTCTGTCTTGGCCAGTGTACCAAACGCACCCTAAATGTTTGGTTTCCCATTCTATCCTTAATTATGAGATGGAGAAATTTTCTCCATCTATTATTAAGGGTAAAAATGTTCAATAGTTAATTAAAAGGTGTAATAAAGTACATATTCCTACAACTTTGTGCTATTTTCATTGTGGACACTTATTTTAGGACGGAGGGAGTAATGAATTGGCCCCTAGAAAGAATATGATTTTGTGAAAATACAGACTTTAAATCTTCTTACACCTAATTAGTTGTAAATGATTTTTGAGTTTCTACTGTTTTAACAGGTAATAGTAATTATACCTGCAGGGCAAGATTCAATCCACCATTTTCTTCCTGATCAAAATACAAAAGCTGCACAAAGTTGAAGCCTTTTAGGTAAACAAGGGGAAATAAAATTGACTTTAAAAATAAAATTCGAGCATATGGTGCAACGAGTAAGATACAACCCATCTGGAATAATACAATAAAGCCTATCTGGCAAAAAATTAACTAAATATCAATCGTTAATGACCATATTGGGAATGGCGAATGACCTAGGCAACTTTTGTTAACATGGAATAGTACATACATATATAAAGGTCACTGGAACTCCATTCAAGTCTGTCAAGGAAAAGACCAGTTACAAACCTTGAACTTGCTCTTGTCTGCGGATTGCACTCGGCAAACTAATCCAGCCTGTGCTTCCTTCTCTGTTATTGTAACAGAATAGAAATGAGCACATTGCTTCTCAACCTGTAAAGAAATGCTAAGATTCCTTATGAACAATAGAATGTAAATAAAACTGGAAAAGAAGAAAGTGACAGCCTACCTTTCTAACAACCGGTTGCCCAAAAGCAATCGGGTGAATAGTAACTGTACCATTTAGTGCCTCCTCTAACACAGTGGCAGATACGGTAGTTTTTATGGGCACTCCAAGTTTGCTGCAACAATATGCATCATATATAAACCTCAAATTCAGAGATGGTTGCAAGCTAAAACAAATGAACAGAAGAAACAAAAGCGTTTGAACGTTTTCATGTCAAAAGACCTGAAAATTGCAGCAAACATGGTATTCATAGCGCCTAAACTTGAAAGATCTAGCTCCAAATCTTGGCCTTCACTTTCAACAGCCTGCACCCATGACTTTTTTGTCAACATAAACCAAATACCCACATCTGTAGATCCTATATAAAAATCAATTGTGAAAAATGGCCAAGCAGAAAAGTAAATTCAGATTTATTTCATGACAATATGAAATATACTGGAGAATTTGACCTCAAAACCAGCAGTGTCATATTGATGCCGTTTATCTGGATCTGACAATATGTTATAGGAAAAGGTTATCTCGTTAAACATATCAGTTGCTTTAGGGTCATTCGCATTCTTGTCAGGATGGTACCTAGGATACAGTTATCAACATAAATTCATCAGCCTCTGAACTGCCAATAAAAGATCTAGCATATGAATACCTTTAGAAGCGATACATTTGCAACAAAACCAAAAGTTTTAATCTACTGAATGTTGACACTTGAGAATGTAGCTCAGAAACTATCATCCCCCCAACTCATAAAACAAACATAAAAGGTCCAGATCCATTTACAGATTGATATACATGTCAAGAGGAAAAAGTATAGACCACATGGGGCATGGCTTAAGAAGCTCATAACTGCAAACTAAGGGAACATCAACCTGAAACTGCTAGCTGAATAGAAATACATCAATTATCTAACTTTTTTGCAAAGCTGTTGTTATCTTGAATTCATAGGCTTTGCAACTTGCAAAACTGGAGCGATATGCGAAAGAGTATTATTTAACCAAAATGAGAATGTTGTTACATGTTTGGGAGGAAGTGATTTGGGGATCCAGAAGATGAAGAAGAGAAGTTATAGGAGGAGAAACAGTGTAGTTTAAAGAAGATATTGACTGACTTCCACCTGATACATATATCAGTTCCATACTCTCAAAACACAATTAAACCAACAAGTATCTATAGAACAATCATGCAGATTTACCTTTCCAAGTGAAAGCATAAAACCCTAAATGAAACCCTAAATCAATGAGGAGTGAGGTCTTAGTTTCATCTTTAAGGACAGTAAATATATTTAAGATGAAACAGAAAATGCCTCTTAAAATCAATTACTTGTAATAATAGCATTATTTACAATGGACTTGGTATCAGTTCTACAATATGTGACAACCGTTCACCTCGACTGTTTTTCATGAACACATTGGTCAACTACAACACCACCAAAAACCACATGATAACACCCACGAGGAGATTCATAGCTATAGGTTATGGTCATCAACATAGAACATGTTTTAATCCGCTCTGCAAGAAGTTTAACCCATTAACCAAAAACATACAGACCCATCTGATGCAAAAGAAATCCCTCAAATATGCACCTAGGCTAGCAAGTTATGTATGATATCAATTATCAACAACGTCCAAAATCCTGCTTTCAACCATATGTGTCATCTAGACCACAAATGATAATAGGCAGGGAAGCCTTCCACTGTATTCAAGGCGTATATTACTTGGTAACATCAACAAACAGCTGATCTGAAGACCTCCCGTACTCAAATAACATTTACTCCAACGCGAAACATCAAGTGTCTAACGATATAAATCGTTTTGGGAAAACTGTGAAAAATCTATAAGACTACAATCACACGGATACCAAGTCTACGTTTAATGATTCATAAGAAATTAAGAATTGCTACTACATCCCCAAAAATACGAATAAACCCTACGAGATCAAAAATTCTAGGTTACCATAGTCATAACGCAGAATTTATCTGTATATCTAGATATAACATACATAACTAATTCAACCGAATGAAAACCTACTTCGAATCATGTACAGAGAAATAAAACCTGACAACTAATTTCTACAAAAATTATCAAAAAAAAAGTAGTAACATAGCTTACTTCAGAGCCAATTTACGATAAGCACTTTTGATTTCTTGATCTGTGGAGTTGCGAGGAACGCCGAGCACCTCGTATGGGTCTCTAAGCGACTGCTTTTCTGCATCACTCTTCTCCGATTTGGACTTATTACCCGGCATTTTCAACGATTTTGAGCTACCGAAAACTCGGAGCTCAGAAAAACCTAAAAATTGTCTTCCAAAATACACAAAAGACAAAGTTTGTCGATATGAAAATTCGAAGGTGAACCGTAATCAATTTCTACGAAATTTGAAGGCCAGATTCCGTTGTGACGGAGAAGTAAAAGAAGCTATGAACAGTTGGAAAAACCCTTGCGTTGTAGAGAATCGCAGCTCCTCATGGTTTGGTGGCTGGCCTCCCTCTTTGGAGGAGAAATGAAGTGTTGTTGATAAAAGTTTTGTCATGGTATGAAATGTTGCAAAAATCCCCCCTTGAGGTTTTGGATATTACAAATACAGTCCTTGTGTATTTTCGGTGCGCTTTTGAAATACAAACAGAAGAAATCGATCACGGTGTAAAGTTTGTGAATACAAATATGCTTGTGTAATGAACAACTCCGCTCATATTGTTGGTATCCAGTTGCTTGTAGCTCCTGGCAACTGACCTCGTTGGAGAATAACTGACAACCGGAAAAAAAAAAATCGTTGCAATCAACTAGAGCTTCATTACAGCAGGGAAAAAAGCAGATATAGGATTTTCACTGATTGAAAGACCTAAGTTTGTTAGACTGTGTTAATAAAACGTTTTTTACATGAATCTTTATGGACTAGCTATATCAGATATGTTACAAGCTGACATTATTAAAAGAAAAATGGCTATGCATACTGCTTCACCATTAACAACAGAAACATTGGCAACCCTGGTGCCAACATAGTTTTGTACCTAGGGTATACTGTTTTAGAAAATCTGGAATTTTGGGAAATTTTACTCCAACAGCTATGCTAAACTCTCTTAAAATAGAGCAAAAAATGAGAGAGAATGGAGAATTCCCCAAATTTGGAAGAAAATATAACATACTTGTTGGAGATACCCCAACACTTGTATTTAGAATAGAAGTAGATGTAAAAAAAAAGTATGTGGTGGGACCGTTAAAGATGGTAAAAAAATTCACATCATGTCGAAACAATTTTGTGATGCCATAAGACCCGTTGACAGTAACATGGATCCACCCTTAATTCAGAGACATGTCAGAAAAATTTCATGATGCCATAAGACCCGTTGATAATAACATGGAACCGCCCCTGATTCAGGGACATGGGTTCAACCTTGTTCTTGTCATTTCGTATGAACAAGTCATATATACGTTTCTTGAACAAGGTAAATATATATGGTTCATATGGAACGTTGTTTTGCATTAATCGTTGTAGACTATAATTAATCGTAAGTTAAAACCGAACGACCGGCTCACTTCACGTCTTCACCTATTAGACATTGGTTTATTAGGGATGTAAAATGTAACTTTTGATTGTTAAGGGGGTTAAAATGAAAAAGCAAGTTATTCAAGTATATACATAATAATGACAAAAACAATAAGCATTGCCATTGGTATTATGAAAATAGTGAGTATGTCATCATATGGTATCATTATTCAATTGAGATGTTCCATTATGCAATAATATCTATGTCTCAATGAATTATTAGATTCTTTTATTTATTCATAAATATATAAAATTGGTTTATAAATATACGATATTTTTATATCTGTTAAGTATATAGTACACTGGAAACGTTAAAGCAGTATCGCTGCTTTATCTGATTTGTCTTTCTTATTTAAATAAAATTTAATTTGTTGATAGTATTTCAATTTGAATTCATTTTATGTTCGTTATTAATCAGTGCAAAATACAATAACTATTGTTTTTCATATGTAATAATAATTTATGATGTCGTGAGAAATAAAACTTTATCTGAATTAAATGTTTGTGACGTTGAAATCAGATTTACGTGCTTAGAGAACCAAGATTCTGTTACTACAATTACCCAAAAAGTTTGTTTTAACGGACACTGAATATTGAAATAATAACCAAACATAGTACTTAAACTACGCATCAAATCAAATATTGTATTCATTTTTTTTCCTATAAATGAAGTTTAAATTGGTTTTAAAAAGTAAATAATCAACAATCAGTATCGAAATGATGTTTAACTGATATTTAAAATATATGTATAGTTGTATTACATGTATTTTAGTAATTATTAAATTTTAGCGATTCTGATTCACATTAATTGTGTATTTCTTATGATTAACTGATTATGAGTTTTACAGTAATTTTGCATTTTTATAGAATCATGTGTTAAACAAAAAAAAATAATGATTGTTATAATGCAAGATCCTCGGTTTTCTATACAGTTAGAATCTATCCAATCAGTTATAAATGACTTTAGTTTCGTCACGGAATACCATATGTATGTTAAACCCAAACAGCTATACGTAACTTAAAGAAAGGTACTCAGTTGAAATCTTGTAAAAACGACAATCAACTTTGATGTTAGTTTCAATCACCGAAGTTTGAAAATCAATAAACAGAAAAGCTTTGAATTTTGCTTGAAATTTTTTCGCGTTTGATAATATGGACCGAGTTCAATGTTATTCTTTGTATTTTACTCAATATCAGTTCAAAAATTACAACCAACTTGGCATGTATAACCTTTGAATGAAACTTTTTACAAACTTCGACTGTTTCATTAATATATATATATATATATATATATATATATATATATATATATAATTTCTATACGTATAGGTTAGCTATAAAGAGTAATGTGAAACAAGAACTTATATTGACGATTTATCATCTATCAAAAGTATCGATCTTTCCACAAACAAGCTCACGGATGGCATTCATGATAGTATCAGAAGTCTGAAAGGTATCCAAAAGGTTCTTACCGTATTCCATTTGTTAAACAATTGTTGAGATTAATCATGACAATGAAAATTTTATGAAAATCAAGAGAATTTTGCAAAATGTTTGCACCTGATTTTACAAAAACAAATTATTGATTCAGATTTCAGACTTCAGCACCACCTCTTATTAATCAGAAGTGAAAAAAGAATTCAGACTTCACCACCTCTTAAAAAACAAACGCCACCTTAGACTATCATTATTTACATTTAACCCATATAATAACTAGAAAAAGAACGTTATAAATCCATCAGATGTGAATTTTTTACTACCGTAAAAAATGTAAATTAAGAATTCACTTTTACTTTTTATAAAAAAAAGAAAAAGAAAAAGAAAAAGAAATAAAAGGAAAAGTAAATAAGAATTCATGAAGGAATTAATTATTACTTAAAAATTAAGCAACTTAAATAGAGGTTGATTTGATACCTAATCGAAAGATAGAGAAGCTGTTCCTCAATTTCCCCATTTTTGATTCACACTCCTTTGTTGACAAAGTCAACATCACCATCATCCAAAGTCAACAAAAATATACTTTAATATATATATATATATATATATATATATATATAAATAAATATATAATATATTTATATACGGTAAATATAACAAATAAATTCACACACTCTTCTTACTTATGGTGGGGTCAATAACTCATATACCACTAGACCAAAGATCTTTTGTTTTTTTTTTAATTTAACTGTAACAGATTATCTATATTAAAGATTTAATAATCCCAATATAATTAAAAATTATATAAAATAATAACGACCCAATTATACCAGATTACTAGTAGAATCTCTACACAACAAGTTTTAGATAATTATTTAAAGGGCAAATTGCATGAAAAAGTAACGTACTTTAACTTGATTCCTATTTTGGGTAGCGTACTTTCAAAACTTCTATTTTAGTACCTAAGATGTAAAAGTTTAAACATTTAAGTACCCGGGTAACCCGATGAAGACTAATTTTAGACTAAAAAAATACTAATTTTAGATTTAAAAAAATCCATGTCACTGGCCACGTCAGCAAATAATACCGAGTTAGATACCACATCACTCGCCACATCAGCATAATAATCGGTTAATACTTCAACCAGTTACCCGGGTACTTAAATGTTTAAAACTTTGTATCTTAGGTACCAAAATGAAAGTTTTGAAAGTATGTTACCCAAAATATGAATCAAGTTAAAGTATGTTATTTTTTCATGCAATTTGCCCTTATCTAAATTTGGAGTTTTTTTTATCTAGTTTTTCTATTTTAGATAATCATATGGAGAATCTATTGGAGTAAAATAGAGAAAAGAAACATCATTTTCTTTATTTTAGAGAATCTGTTGAAGATGCTCTAATATTCCATATCAGATACGGTCGCATGAATTTATTTAGTTTGATATAGAGGTGGGAGCCTCCTCCTATCAAGAGAAAAAAAAATCAACAACTTAAGCACTCGGGTGGGGGCAAACCATATCCATCAGAAAGAAACCAAGGCTTCTAAAGGGAAAGAAAGGAAGAAAAAGGGAGGGAAGAGAGAAAGACCATCCACTAGGGAAAATTCCAGGCAAGACGAGTCCGGAGTCCGGACAACATTCGAAGAAGACTTAAGGGTCGGGCTAAGAAGCCTAGACCGGATATCACCAGTGATGATCTTGACCACTATATCACGAGATCTCATAAAAATAAAATTTCATGAAAGATAAAACAACAATTAACAGTATGACACGTTTCATTAACTGACATTTGATTAAAAAAAATATATATATATATCATAAGTTTTACAGATATTTTAGGTCAAAAATTGTTATAAATACTGATAAAAATGTCTTAATTATTGTCAAGATGCTAAATCTTATGTCATGATTTTTAATATTCCAGACAAAAGTTGGGTTGTGAGTCACTTCTTACATTAGATGAGATAAATGCTAAATTAAATATTATTGTTGGATAATTAAGTGAAAGCTATTTTATAATTTTGATAACCAACTTGCCATTAAAATTCCTATTTATGCACCTTACATTACATGTATGACTTTTAGGGACGATTCAGTAAATACTTATCGGGTAAATGTTTATCGGGTGTCATTTATTTTTTAGAAGAATCTGACAAAGATCTAAAACATTATCCAGTAAGAGACATAACAATAAAGGATAATCTTACCCGATAAATGATTACCAGATAAACGACGTATACCAACAGTCCATTTTGTAGGCTGAGAATATACCTGGTAATGTAAGTTATAGGGGAAATTAATTGGAATAACCATTTTCAGAGACCAAAATTATCTCTTACTCATTTATCTCTCCAGATTTTCAAAAAATCACTACCTCCTCAAATGAAAGAAGAAAGAAGTTTTTAAATATGGTCAGCAAATACAGATACCAAAATCTGTAAATTAGTCCAAATACTTCTGCAAGTAGCAGAAGCGCTACTTGCAAACCCAGACAAATTTACATATTTGGTCTTTGT